AATAGGACCTAAGTGGATTCTATCATTCAGTCAATAATACAACAATATTTAATGTATGTTGTGGCTTGTATCTAAGTATCCCCCCAAAGCCTCATGTGGTCATAGGTGGGGCTTTTCCAGAGGTGGCTGAATCCAGAATATGTAATGGTGGGATTGTGTGTACTACTAAATTAGTCCACTGATTGGTTTGTCATAGTTCTGGGTAGGATTAAAGGTGCCTCACCCTGGGTGAGAATACTACCCACCCTAAGAGTGGGTAACCTGGATAAAATATAAAGGACAGAAAAAGGACCTCTGCCTGCCATGAACTATTTCTCCTCTGTGATGCCCCTCTGCCATGCCACCTTGCCTTGGAGCCAGCTGATTATGAACTGAAAATTCTATTTACTGTGAGCTAAATAAACCTTTCCTACTTTTACTCTGGGTTTCGGGTATTTTGTCTCAGCATCCCGAAAAGTAAGTAAGACATTACAGTATAAGAAATACTATATATAGTATTGCAATATAAGAAATATTATTGAGGGTACTGTAAGCTTCATTAAATATTCAATAAAACTCAGTTTATTGAGCCCTATTATAGGTTTAGCATTGGTTGATTTTTTTATTTTTGTGAGGGTTAAATTTGATTTTTAATTTTGTTTAAGTCTTTGTGGCCTGTTATTTGAACATGCCCGATACTAGTATTATACTATCATCATTTAAAAACTTTTAATTATTAGTATGTTTGTAGTATATGATTAATTATGGAGAGTTCACATATGTACATAACACATCTTAACTCTTTTTATGTCTGTTCCCCAACTCCCATCTCTTAGTCCTCATCCCATTTGCAAAAGATCTGTTTCTCTGTTTCCTAATTTCTGTTTTATTTTTGCCCTTTATTTATACTTTGGGTTTCTCATATAAGAAAAACTACGTGATATTTAAGTTTGTGTATTTGATTTATTTCACATAACAATATAGTCTCAAGGTACATCTATTTTTCTACAAATGACTCATTTACTCTTCTTTATACCACAATGCGCACTGGTTTAGGGCAGAACAGAGCAGTGTCCCTGACCAGTGAGTGACTCATCATCCAAAAGGCAGTTACAAAGGAGAAAAGCCAGAATAAAAATGGGTGTAAATCCACTTAAGAGTGTAGAGGTGCTGAGTTTTACCCCTTAAGAATGTTCAACAGGGACTTCAGAGATAAGAATTTGCACCTTGTGTGCAGTGTGGCACATACCTGTAATCCCAGCTACTCAAGAAGCTGAGGCAGGAGGATCACAAGTTTCAGGCCAGTCTGGGGAATTTAGTGAGAACTTGTCATGCATTTAGCAATCATTATGGGAGAATTTACATCGTGGCTAAAACTGTTATGGTTGCTATGTATAAACAGGAATAAGGCTGTTACTGCTTTTATTTTAGTCAAGGTCTATGTAGTTCAGTTGGCCTCAAAATTGCTATACAGTCCCGACTGGCCTGAAATATGCAGTCCTCCTGCCTTAGCCTCCTGAAGTTTTACACATGAAATTATTATAAAATAGGGTATTCAAATAGTATAGAGGCATATAAAAAGTCTTGATTTTATGATTACTCATCTTTCAGACACTTCCCATTCCTGTACAAACATACACACTTAAAAAACACAGTGATCAATCTTTTTTTTTTTTTTGGTACCAGGGATCGAACTTGGGTCCTTGAGCTTGCGAGGCAGGCAGCACAACCACTGAGCTAAATCCCTGGCCCATGATCAATTTTTTTTGGCGGGGGGAGAATCGAGACAGGGTGTCACTTTGTAGTTCAGGCTGGCTTCAAACTCCTGCCTCAGCTTCCCAAGTGCTAAAATTACAAGCATGTGGTAAGACACCAGCTCAAGATATATACTGTTTTGCTACTTACTTTTTTCTCTTAAGACATAATGAACATCTTTCCATGTCAGTACATACTGGTTTACATTATTATTATTCCTGTTATTGTGCTGGGGATTGATCTGAGGGTCTCAAGCATGCTAAGTAAATGCTCCATCACTGAACCACACCCTCATTCCCTACTTTTTTTTTTTTTGAGACAGAGTCTTGCTAAGTAGTTCAGGCTGCCCTTGAACTCAAAGTAATCCTCCTGCCTGTCTCTCAAGTGCTGGAATTACAGGTGTGTGCCACCACACCCAGTCCCTACCTTATTTTTTAAACTGCTGTAATTCTATTTTATGAGCGTACTTAGTTTTTTATAACTAGTCCTCAGGTGATAGATGCTTAGATTTTCTGGTTTTCAATAGTATAAATACATTGGAAATAAATGCCTTTGTTTATATGTCATTGGATATTTGGGCTAGTATTATTTTGGACCGAGTTAGTTAACCTTTAAAAAATTTTTTGTGGTCTCAAAAGACAAAATTAAAAAATATATATATAGTTTTGAATATTTTTATTAGTATGTTTGCAGTACATAATGATTATGTTCACTGTGGTATAGTTTAAATTTTACACAGTTTTGTTACCCACCTCTTATTTTTCTTAATGGTATGCTGTTAATATCTTTTCTTATGTCCATCTTCTTATAACATTGGGTCTTACTAAGTTGCCCAAGCTGGCCTCAAACTGGCAATTCTTCTGTCTGTTTTCCGAGTAGCTGGGACTGTAGGCATACACTACCATGACCATCTCCCAGCTCTTCTTTTTCTTTTTGTTTTTTGTTCAAGCTGGCCTTGAACTCCAATCCTGCTGCCTCAGCCTCCCGGTGCTGGGATTACAGGCATTCATCACCATGCCCGGCTACTCAGCTTTTCATTTTTATGAAAACCAAATAATCTCCTAGAAAGCCTATATACCTTTTCATTCTTGATATGATTAATGCAAATATGTGCCTCTACGAGTTTAGTCTTTTTAAACCTTTGGCAATTTGCTAGGCGAAACATTGTATATCACTGTGAGTTTTCTTTTTTTTTTTTTCTGGTTTCTAGTGAGGTAGAACATCTTTCCACATAATTACTGACTCTCCTTCCTAGATTAGTTCGTTATTGTTCTTTGCCTTTTTTTAAAGAATTGGTGTGTGGGCCGGGATTTAGCTCAGTGGTTCCGCTGCTTGCCTCACAAGCCCAAGGACCTCAGTTCGATCCCTGGTACCAAAAAAATAAAAAAAGAAATAAAAAAAGAATTGGTGTGGTTATCTTTTGCTTACTTGTAAGAGCTCCCGACATATGTATTTATTATATAAGTCAAAATTAGATACTAAGGACACTAAGCAAGGATATATAATTGAACTGTTGAACGTGTTACAATTATTCCTCCATTTTACTATTTGCTTTTCAACTTTATAGTTGTCTTTATAGTGTCTTTTCGGTCACACGAAAGGCACAACTTTAATTTTTTCCTTGTTTATTTGTTTGACATTATGCTTAGAAATAGGAGCAAAGGGCCGGGGATGCTCAGGGGATCCGCGGCCTGCCTCACAAGCACAAGACAGTACCAAAAAAAAAAAAAAAAAAAAAGAAGAGGAGCATAAACAGGTCCATTCACAACACATAATCACTTCCACAGACGGAAACGAGTGTGGTGTACAGAATATGAATTACAACGCACACAGACGTGAGTTCACGCCTGGCACATCCAAGTTATGGCGCCCAACTTCTTTACCTGCATTGTTAAACGTTAATCAGTTTCTTCATCTGCAAAAGAAGCTGATAGAAGTGACAAAATGCTTAGCATCCTGCCTCAATTTCTTTTCCTTTGCACCCAGCGGGTCATTTCTTACTGCCAAACGCGGCCAACTACCCAATGCAGACTAAAATAAAAACTGAGGTGTGAATCTGGGCGAGTTTACATTCCAGCAGTTTTTCCAGAAAGCTTTTAGAAGCACTCCATTAAACTACAAAGGCCGTAATGTGTAAAAAAGGACCATAAAGTTTCTGTGTATGCAGCTCATGAGGCTTGGGGGAGGGCGAAGAACCAAGTAGTTTTCATTTTCCGGATTCTCCCTTGTTAAAATACCCTTCACCGGGAAAAACAAAACAAAACAACAACAAAAACCCTCCGCCAGGCTTCCAAACCCTTGTGGTTATTTTCCTTCATCTAGGAATGTCGACGTCACAGGTTTCAAAGAGAGCCTTCAGGTAAACCCAAGTAGAGAAAGTGAACACCTTAACATTCATTTTTACCGAAAATATCGTAGGGGTTGCGCGGGGCCCTGAGACCTCTGTTGAAAGGGTTCATTTATGAAAGCAGAATGATAACTAGCACGATAATACCTCGTGGCCCTTTTTAGCCTTTGACAATCTCGGCTGCGTTCCCGGCCGGTGTCGTTTGTCAGCCGCCGGCTGGCTCCGAGGGCAGCACTAACGTCCAAAACGCTCCTTAATTTGCATGCGATGTAGATTTACAGCTCTGGGCGCCCAATCGCTCCTGCGCCTGCACGGCCAGCGCTCCGGCCGCGCAGCGCCCGGCACAGACGCGCGACGTGCGCTCCCGATTCAGCCCAGCTCGGGCGCGGAGGCCGGGGAAGACGCTAGGCGCGCGCCGCCCTCAACCAGCGCGGCTGTGGGGCTCCCTGCGCTCCCTCTCGGCGGCCCCACCGTCCGGGCTCCGCGCGGCCCCGAGGAGGGAGGGGCCTCCTTGGGGAGCGCCGGGGAATTCCCCTTCCACCGAACATTCCCGATTGTTCGAGTCTTCACGTCAGCAGCAGGGGGTAATCCCCGACTCCAGCTGCTCCTGACGTCACCGCGCGGAGCCACCGCCTCCCACTGCCGCTGCGCGTCCCTGCTCCCGGCCTCCTCGAAGCCCCGCCCCCAGACGTAGCCACGCCCTCCCAGCCTCCCGACGTAGTGGGCGGAGCTTCTTTGACCAGGGTTTGAGCCGTTGCTCGGGCCAGAAGGTTCTCTGGTAGAGGTTCTCCTCCTGCTGCTCCGCCCAGTAGGTTCGTTCGCCTCGTTTCTTCCACACCCTTTCTCCCTCCTTCTTCTCCTCGCCCCGCCTTCCCCTCGTCTTCTCTCCAACCCCTGTAGTTCCTTCCCCGCCTCGCCACCATCTACGATCTCGCGAGACTTGGCCCAGAACATTGCGGATCGGGTCGGCGCCATTTTGGGACTGAGACTGGCTGTTGGGGGAGGGAAAAGCGGCAAAAGGGGATTATTCAAAGTACCGAAAACCTCCTCCCGGGATCAAGCGTAGCGGCACCCCCAGGCCAGGGGTACCTCTGGTGGGGCAGAAGGTAACACCGTCCTCTGTCCTCCGCACCGGCGTCCGGAGGAGGAAGGGAAGAGGGTGCCTGTGTCGGCGTCGGGGTTTGAGGGGTCGGAGCTGCGTCGGCGGCTCGAGGTGCGAGGCTGCCCGCGGACGGGGGGGCGGCAGGCGCGGGGAGGCCTCCCCCAGTGTAGACTCAAACACAGACCGGCGGAGCGGAGGTGGCGGTTGTGGGGAGGGAGCGGGTGGCCCAGCCTGGGCGGCCGGGGAGGGGGGTGGCGGAGGCTGGGACAGGTCAGGCGCCGTCTGCACTCAGTCCTCCCCGGGGCCTCCGCACGCGGCCTCCTCCCCGTGTACCCTGCCTGGCGGCGCGGAGGGAGTTGAGGCCGAGCTGTGGCCTTCGGCTGCGACTCCGGCGGCGCCTCGGCCCTCCCCGCTTCTCGTAAGTCTGAGAAGCTTGCCTTGGACGAAGGCTGGGGCAGTCTCGTCCCACTGAGTTCTGTGGGAACTGAGGGCACTGTTCTTTTCTGGGAGAGATTGTTCTTTTGGGGTTTACGAAAAGGGCTCGGTTTCTCCTACCCTCCCCCAGTTTGGGAAGAAACCTGTTTTCTTAATTCAAGGAAATAGGAACCCACACCTTCATCCCTCTGCAGCCTTTCGTAGCAGGGAAGTCTGCCCCTCAGGCGAAATTCAGAAACGTACTCGTTGTGGTCCACAACCACCCTTTTAGCCTCGTGGAGAAAATTATGCCTCGTCTTTTAGATACTTTGATTTGGAGGGAGTCACTTTCTGTATCCCTCTCGTTAACATTTACGGAACTAGTGCTAATGCGCATCTGTTTTCCTTGGGTACATTGAATAGGATTAAGTCTTTTGTAAGATTGTGTGCCAGTTTCATAGTTTTAATAGTTATCAAAACTATATTTTTGTTTTTATAGTCTTTCAGTATTCTATCTTCACAGTGTTCCCAGTTCAAACCGGCAATTGGCTACGTGATACCGCCCCCCCTCCCCCGCCCCTTTTCATTCAGTAGACCTAGTGTTCCCTTTTCCAGGCTCCCCTAGGATTACATAGACGCGAATTTCTCACCAGAGGTTGAGTTTCAAAGTGGGGGTTGGTTTTTAGCTCAATATCAAAACTGTGTGTAACTTAACTTGTTTTTATAACTTTTGCAGGTGACTGAATTACTCAGATGTGAAGATCATCTAGGTTTTGTGTAAAAGGCCCCGGATATTTCAAGTGGCCATTTTGGAATTACAGTGTTTTTGGATAATTTTGCCCCAGAAGTTTATTAAAATTGGCAAGAATCATCTCTGAAGTGAATTGATAGTGCTATCAATTCAATAAACTACTCAGTAAGAGACCCAGACATTTCATCAGTATTTTGCTTCAGATGGATTATATAACTGGCTAACGTGTTTCAGGTGGTGGCACCCCCCCCAACCTCTCCTGTTGGTGTTCTTCAGCCAGAACTGTGAGATATGATTGATTTGTGTACTGAGTAGTTTCAGCAGTTTCGAATTACAGTTTAAATATTGCTGAAGTTTAATGGCAATTTATTTTTACCTTTATTACAAGTTTTAGGGATTTTCTGATCTTGATCCTTTTCATGTCTCAATGGAACAGCTTTTCTAGATGAAGACATTGAAAGAATACAGAGTTTTTTTCTTTTCATCTTTTACTTACGTGGAAATTTAAGATGTTGCAGTTTCCCACCGGTGTGGTAGTATTGAGATAGCTATTTGTATCTATGTGCTGAAGTTTAGGACTACTCTTCAGATGTGAAATTTTCTTTTTGTTTCTACTTTTTGGCTCATAACTTGGATGTTTCTTCTGGAGTGGGATAAGTACAACAGTGACAAGTACATGGAATAATAAAGAAGACTTTGATCTTAAATCCAAGGAACTTGGCTAATTTTGGAGATAGCCATATGAAAACTTTAAAGCATAAGTATGGGTAGCTGACTTGAAATAACTCTATGTCAAATAGTCATAGGTTAAGTATCTTCAAAGAACTTGGATATTTCAGAGGATACAAAATAAAAAAACAAACTGGAAAACATAAAGATTACAGAGAAAAAATCAACACCTTGTGCAGTCCTGTTGGAATTTGTAAGTACTGTTATGGTGAGCAAATCCAGTGTTCATTTGTGTAAACTACAGTGAGTCAAATTCATCCCTTATTTATTGTTGGAAACATTTTAATTTCTTGTGATAATAATTGCTTGGCTTCAGTTTCCTGAATAATCTGAAAACAACCGCTAACCATTGTCTGAGTAAACAAATGCGGGGGTGGGGGCATAAGACTATTTCAAGTTTATAAGTGTTAAAAGTTTTTGTACTTTTAAATTATATGTTAGTATTAACTTTGGGCTTTACAAATTCATGGATAGGTAGAAAGTTTACAACAGAAATTTCAGACATAAGAATATTTCAAATTTATAAGTGTTAAAATTTTTTGGGCTGGAGATTTAGCCCAGTGGTTCCGCCGCCTGCCTTGCAAGCGCAAGGACCGGAGTTTGATCCCCAGTACCAAAAAAAAAAATTTTTTTTTGTGCTTTTACAGTATATGTTAGTATTAATTTTAGGCTTTACGAGTTCATAGGAAGGTAAAAAGTTTACAACAGAAATTTCACGTGTGTGGTTAGCTGTTTTAGATTTTAAGTTTGTGTGTCTGATAGCCAGTTTATTTCTGAGTGTGAGTTTAGACTGTATTGCAGTTTTTAGGGTCCATTTTGAGTTAAATAGTGTTAAACTGTACTACAGAGTTTGGTTTTTAACTTGATATTTCATGACTTAGGTTGTTTTAGGGCATAACTGTGCTTGATATTTTAATTCATTATAGAAATTGTATTTGAAACAATTTTTGAAGTGGTTTTATATTTCAAATTAAGTTTTAGTTTTAAGAAGAAAACTTACTACCAGGAAGGAAACAGAAACTCAGCAAGCTGAATTCAGAACCTTTTAATTGCCAGGTGTGGAGGCACAAGCCTGTAATCCCAGTGTTCTGGAGCCTGAGGCAGGAGGATCTCTGAGTTCCAGGTCAGCATGGGCTCCATAGTGAGTTCAAGGCCAGCCTGAATTATAGTGAGATCCTGTCTGAAAACAACATGAAAAACCTTTAAAACAACATGAGTATTTATATATTTTTCTCCCAGCAGTGTTATGGTGGCTTAGTTCTATAAACAAAGCGGTTTTCTAGAAAGTTATTAATAGTTGCAGTTTTAGAAGTCTTTGACAAATGGCAGAATTGTCTTTTAATAAGAGTTTTTACAGTGATTGAACCCAGGGCTTTGAACATAGTTCTTTTTTTTATTATTTTGAGGCAGGGCCTCCTTAAGTTGCCCAGGCTGTTCTCAGACCTATCTCCTGTCTCAGTCTCCATACCTGGCTTAGGACTGAATATTTTCAGTTACAATTAGTAGTTACTTCATTTGATTTTTCACTTAATTGTGGGTATTCAGGATTTAAAAAAAAAATTTACTAAAATTTATTTTGAAACAGTGTCAGTGGAAGATGAATGTTGGTACAATTAGTGTTTATTTCATCTAATTATCTTTCTGAGGTGAAAGATTGTAATTTTTGAACAGTTTCTACTGGATGACTAAGATCAATTTATTATTTATGATTTATTTTTTGGTACCAGGGATCAAATTCAGGACCTTGAGCTTGCCAGGCTGGTGGGGCACCACTGAGCTACAATCCTGGCCTGCTCATTTATTTCTGAACAACTTTTTTGCTAACCTGTTGAATCCTTAGCTCCCTTAGACCAAGAGGCAGGAGTCGACTAAGTATTCAAATACTCATATGTAGTATTTAGTATCTTCTCTGAAATTGAGGTTAGAGTTTGACAATTCCTTGTGGTAATAGCCTAGGTTACATATGTGATTTCTCTGTTAGATCTGTTTAGTTTCTAATTGAGTTTCCGTCTTAATTTATATAAAAATGGATGGGAGCATTCTGCTGACTTTGGAAGAGCTTGTATTTCATGTATTCCAATTTAATGGCTTTTTAGGTTGCTTGTCTAATATGGGTCTTTAATGTGATTAAGAAGGTGGACTATAATCAAATGACCTTTATTTTTAAAAAAAAGAATGACATAACATTTATTAGTGATTGTTTTTCAAGTTTTCCTTATTTATAGTGTTACTGCAAGCAGTAGTGTCAAGATAAATTACTTCAGGGACTAGGGTTTTTAACTTAACCCTTGAATAGTCTAACATTTGTGAACTTTGCTTACACCAGTTGTTCGAAGACAGATTTTCTTACTTGAATGTTTTCATGTCTTTAATATTTTACTTTATTTATTTTTTGAGACAGATCTTGCTGTGTAGCTTAGGCTGGCCTTGAACTCACTATGTAGCCCAGGGTGGCCTGGAGCTCACATTCTCCTGCCTCAGCCTCCTGAGTGCTGGAATTACAGGCATGTGCCACCATACCTGGCCAATATTTTATAATAATTTTGAGGGATTGAAGTATATAGTATCAGTTTTAAATGGGGCAATTGCTGGACTGCTTCCCCTCTTTGCCCCATGTGTACTCATCCAGTTTTTCTCTTATAGTCTAAATTATAGGTTTAGAGTTAATTACAGTCCTTAACATTTATAGATAAAAACGCTGTTGGGTTTTTGCTGTGTACATAGTATATCTTTTTTTTTTTTTTTTTTGTACTGGGGATCAAACTTGGGACCTTGCACTTTCGAGGCAGGTGGTGGCACCACTGAGCTAAGTCCCTGGCCCCTACATAGTATATTTTAATTTCTAAAAGTAGTACCATGAAGAAAGTAGTGTTACAGTCACAGTGGTGTGAGAAAATTAAGATTTAGGAAGACTGAGACTGGTTGAAAGTTATTTGGTTAGAATTGGAATCTTGATGAACATTCCAGAGTCTGACTCCAGAGTTGCCCATAGTATTGCCAGTGCTGCCCGGGGGAGTGGAGGGGCGGGCTTTCCTTGGCAGTACTGGGAGTTGGCCTGACACAGTAGGCAGTCTATCGTCAAGCAGTATCCCCAGCCCAGCTCATACTCTTAATCCCTCACTACATACATTGCCTTCTTAAGGATACTATTTTGCTTCTCTGGTTAATATTGATGATGCACCACTAACTGAGCTTGGTGAGGTTGATGAGCTACAACAGAGATGACTAGTTTTACTATTTAATAGCTATTAGGATGATGATCTAAAAATTAAAACATGGTTTTGGATTATATTTGAACCTGATTGACCCATAGCCTCTTTTCACAGGTATGGAGCTAAATGCATGTTAGTTTTGTTTGAATTTTTCTGTTTTTGAACCGAAATTACTGCGTGGAGTTTTGTGCTTAAAGCAGCTAGCTGATTAGCAATCTGGGGGCTGAAACTGTAGGATTGCTAGTTCCAGGCCCAGGGCTCCGTAGTGAGACCTTGTCTAAAAAAACTACAAAACAAAACAGCCCCCTGCTGGTACATTAAAATTGAGGAAGGGAGGAATAATAGGAACAGAACAGGAGTGAGCAAAAGAAAGAAAAATTGGGAGAGTTGGAGAAGAAAAGAATAAGGATGGAAGCTTCTTATCTGAAAGTACAACAAGCAAGTGAGGAATAAATTCTAAACCTAGGCCAGGTTATCTGTCTTTGACCCAACCATTTTGTCTGTTTTTTAAAATTTTTATTAGTACATGTTTGCAGTATGAAATGATTTAAGTTCATCATGGGGAGTTGGTACATGTGGTCTGTTTTATTTTTGATACAAATGTTTAGGTAAGAATTTAGATTCAAGTAAGGGTAATTTAAGCTGGGGTAAGAAAAATGGTAATAGGAAACAGACTTTGTTGAGGATAGGGAATATCAAGAAAAAGATGTGTTACCTCGTTACCTGACCTCATTTGTTATGTTTCCACATTAAACTGATGGAAATAATGGTGTGGAGGCTTTTTGTTAATTGTGAAGTGTAATACATATGTAAAGTTTTATTGTAACCATAATATTTTTAAGATTCTTGATATATTTTACATATCAAACCAGTATTTTCATGGTCAAAACTATTCTATTGTTTCTTTTAATGGTATTACCTGCATCCCATTCACGCTAACCTCAAATTACATGTTTGACTTTTTCTTTGTTTATGACACATAGCTTTGCCTCCCCAATTCTAGTTTTTATTTACTATCCTAGCTTGGTTCTTGACTAAGCAAGAAGGTAACTCATTTCTTTGTCTTTTGTTCTATTCTCTGCCTTACCAAATCTCTCCTGTGGCCAGAGAAACCTACCTGAAATATAGGTCTTGATTTTACTATTTTAGCAGCCCATAGCATTGTGTATTTGGCATACTTAGAGCAGTTTGGGTCGGTCTCAGTGGCTCACACCTGTAGTCCTGGCTACTCTAGGGGCTTAGGCAGAGGATGACAAGTTCGAGGCCAGCATGGGCAATTTAGTGAGACCCTGTCTCAAATATAAAAAGCGATAGAGCTCTTGCTTGTCTGGGGGTTCAAGCCCCTATTCTGCCTCCCTCCCTCAGAGATGTATTTCCTGTCTTTTGTTTTGTTTTATGCATCAGAGGTTCTTACTTGGTTATGTGGATGGAAATGAGAGACAGTGATTTCTGAGAATTCTTTGAAATTGGTAATTTTGTGGCCCTTATATGTTTCTGGAAGCACAAGTCCCATACTTTCAATAGGACTCTCATTAAAAACTGTTTAAAATTACTAATAACTCTTTTACTTTTGGGTCTCTTTAAAATTTTACTTGCTTGTTTTTTCCCTTTTTGTCAGCTGCCCTACCCCTCAGAAAAGATAAAGGTGTTTGGTCTATTGTTCTGTCCCTTCAAGTAATTGTTAGCCACCACACCCATTTAGTTTTGGTTCTTTGAGACAGGGTCTCCCTATGTATTCAGGCTGGCTGTGAACTCAGTTTAGTCCAGGATGGCCTCTGAGTGATCTGCCTCAGGCTTCCAGGAGCTGAAATTACAGGTGTGCACCACCATGCCTGGTAGTATTTTTCTTAAGCTAATTTTCTTTAAAGGTTTTTGGTCTTTGATTTTTCTGTCCTTCAATTTTCAGATTAATTTTTTTAAACTTTTAATTTTTTTCTCTTTTTTCTCTTTTAGCAAAAAACTAGAAGTTAAAAATTTAAGT